ATCCCACAATGCAGGGTCCTTAACCACTGTTTCCAGATGTTAAGGCTAAATTAAAAAAAAAAAAAAAAAATCATTTAAATAGAAATATTTTTTAAAACGAATAAAAATGTCAAACGCACATAAATACCAAAATAATACAAATAAAATCTCATATAAATATGAATGAATACTTCGATAGTATATAAATTATACTAAAATTACTTGGAAAATAGTTTCAGTATTTCAGTGTCAAACATTAAATCAAGAAGCTCACCTTTGTCATTGGAAAGCACTTGTGTGAGACTAAATTCTTGGCAGTTCATCTCCTCCAAGTTGTGTTTCTCCAGAGCTCTCTGAATCACCTGAGCTGTCTTGTCCTGACTGGTTATCTAAAAATAAAGAGATGATAAAGTTTCAAGACTTTAGATTTGCTGGGGTTGACAACTACGTACTTAGTAAGCAGGGCTGGGTTTTAACACAAATTTCACGATTCGATTCGATTCTCATTCGCAAGCTTGCGATTCTATTCGATTCGATTACCAATTCGATTCGACATCAATTTTGTGCTGAAACTGGTATTAATGTGGAGGAGATGATCAGTTCACGTGCGCTATGCGCTGCCGCGTCTATTGATCTGCGGCGCTACAGCGATCTGTCACTCCACATTAAACAGCGCCAAGACGGCATTTATTGTTTGAATACTGCAATACAATGGACATAATTTGAAATCTGAGACCTTGTTTCATATTAAAAGTACCACAGCACAATGCTTATTGCGATATATTGGATGGGAAGTGCCCTTCAATGTTCAGTCCATTAACTGAAAACAGGCTAGTCTAATCGATTCTTGAAATGAGGCATTTGTTGCATCCAGTGGGGACATAATTACTGATTATAATGACTTATACTGTCTTTTTACGCGTTGCGTTGCATCGCGCCGCGTAAACATAAAACTCTGTCTGCATTTGTGATCGGAGAAATGACAAACAACAAGCGCTACTCTACACTGCCCAAAACTCGCGTTTGAATCATCAGTGGCAACGAAAAACACACCGGCCTCGCGTGAGGGGAAGCCCTGGCTTAGCGTGCGCTGAGGCCGGGATAGAGTGAGCTGAGGCGGGCTGGACTCCGCTTTGTCCACGGTGAAAGTTGATGTATTTCCTCAGCGACCAGCACAGATCAGCTCTAGGCATGACGAAGCGGATATCGTCCTCTTTTGGAAGACCAAACAAAGTAGTTTCGCTTTCACAAAGAAGCACACAGCGTCTTCACGACATGGCTGCAGCGTCAACAATACTACAGCGAGAATAAAAGTTACGCCTTCTTTCTTTGCGTGAACATTTGGGCGGCGTTATGCAAATCTTCCCAGATCGTGACGTAGGTATGTGGGGGCGTGTTAGAACGAGCCGTTTTAGGTAGGCGTGGTTAACTCTTAACTTTTATAAAAAATATCTCTTTGGATTTGAGACTTTAGTGTTTGCAACTTTACAGATCTTCTTTATGCACCAAGAGCTTGTAACACTCCAAAGAGAAAGGAAAAATTGAAATCGCATCATATGACCCCTTTAACTGAAAACAGACTAGACTAATCGATTATTGGGATTTAAGAATCGATATCGTTCCATAAAAATCGATTAATATCGAGATATCGATATTTTTTACCCAGCCCTATTAGTAAGCCAGAGACTTATTGCCACTAGAAATATGTCAAATAAATAAATAAATGAAAAAGATGAGAAGCATGGACACCGCAGAAATCCCCAAATATTAAAGCCAACTTACCAAAATACTTTTATAAACGTTTCCATTGTTGCCAAATTCCACACTGACTCTGACAATACAAGAATCAGCGACCTGCTTGTTGTACATGGGATGCTTGAGAGAAGGAGAGGATGATGAAGATGATGTAGATGAAGTAGGGGAGGGGCTGTCAGGGTTCAGGGCAGACATATCCGCCTGTAGGCATCTTCGAAAAGAGCTGGGCGGAGTTAGAGAGGAGGTGGCTGTGTCTACTGAGATGTCCTGACAGGATACAGACTGTGAATGAGGGAATGGAGAAAGACTATTTACCCCAACAAATCTGTAAGAGGTCTGTGATGAGCACAGCACAGGTTTTTCACATATAATTTAGGTTGCAACTGACCTTATGAGGTGTACCAGATAGCTTGTTCTTTCATAAGTATATTTCTTTTAGGTGTTCAGCAACACAGATTGCAAGCGATAGATACTTTGGTAAATGATGTGTCGAATGTAAAACATCACAGGCTGGTGGTATTATCTAATACACTGTGTTCTGTGTCAACTTCACTGAAGCTCTGTGTTGATAGTGCAAACTTGAAGTACTTTATGACTGCAAGGTTAAGGCGAAAAATAGTCAAAATAGGTTTTGAGATAATATTAGACCTATCAGATTTAGGCCTATTGATTCAGTACATTTAAATTACAAATAAATAATGCAATAAAAAAAGTACAATTTAATTAAACCCCCTGACCCGCATGCACTGAAAGACACTGAAAATACGGCAAGACATCACACAACAGCTAAAGATATCCGTCTGACGCATGTGTACATCAGTGTTGTTTATATACTATTATGGTATTTATTAATATTTTTAATTAACTTTTATTTTTATATTTTCAGTTTTCATTTAAATTTTAGTAATTTTAATTAATTTAATTAAATTAAGTTAATTAATTTAATTTTAAAATATTTCTATTTAGCTTTATTTCAGTTTTAGTACTACTTTAGTACAAAAACATCCAAATGATTTTATTTTTATTATTCATCAAAAATGTATATTTATTTAAGCTTTATTTCAATGACTAAAAACTATTTTAACAGTTTTAGTAAAAAAAAACACTAGTGTATAGTATAAAAATAGACAGAATGAAGTCTGTGTGAACAGCTCCTACATCTACATCAAACATATTGACAAAATCAAATGGATTTCAAATTGGACTCTGGAAATTGGATCTTCAACAATATGGAAATAAAGCCATAAATATACTACCTTTTAAAGCCCCATTTTGTAATTTTTTTGCTTTATATAATGTAATTTCTCAGCAAATATAGGTCATTATGTTCTACTGATGGATTCAGCACATCATAATTTATTTGAATAAGTATTTTAAATTTGACGACTGACAGCCTACATTTATATTAAAAAATATATATATATATATATATATATCGTAGCATCTATAGAGTATATGAGGTAATAAATAACAAGAGTCTGCAGCTCTGGTCTGCAGTTTTGTTACCTGTACTTTGTATCTAAGTGGTGAGAGGTTGGGGCTGCTGAGATCTTCCATCTCTGAGCCACTGGAGCCAGAGGATGATACACTGATCTGATCAGCAAAAGTCTTCTTTGAGAAGTTCTCACTGCCAGACAGCAAACTGCATTGAGCAGAAGAGAAATATGCATCACAGAAAAACATGTTAGCAAAATGTCTTTTTACTTTTAGAATAGTCTGGGTCCGCAAAATGAGTCGAAACTGCATCTCAAAACAACACTCACGAGGTCAGTTTCTTGGTGATGAGCCGGTGGCTCCAGGGGTTGGGAGAGCTGGGACAGGGGTCAACCGGTGGCTCCAGTTCTCTTGACAACTCATAGCTAATGAGAAAAAAAAAAGACTAACAGTTGGTATTTAAATATCTGAGATGCTGATCTTCTGAAGTACCCAAAGTACTACTGCCTTGAATTCAGAAGTCATTTAATCTCAACCAGCATTCTTAGCAGGAAACTGATCATCAAACTGAATATAATCATCATAATGTGCAAGAGGTGCCTCACCTCTTCTGATCAGAAAGAGGTATGCCGCTTTTGATCCAGGAAATGATGCGAGGATGTGATTGGAGTTTGTAGTGAGCGCATGACGCCTGCAGCTGCTTGATCTGAGACAGAATCTCAAACTCCTGAACACAGAAAGGAATGGAGAAACACACATCAGCACTCTTGACACACTAGCATTTGTTATAAAACCTAGCTTTCCACTGAAACAATATGTAGGATGATTGTGCTTACTTTTCTACGCTTCTCAAAGTTGATGAGACCCCCCTGTGAGCACAAAGAAGAGAGTTATCATACTTTTTTTTTTTAAAAACCGTGTCGGAACTGAAAAAAAAAAAACGACTGTGTATATATATGAATTAATGTCAGAAAAAATTCTCACCTCTACATTATCACTTAGTGCTGTGTCCAACATGGTGAGAACAGTCAGATAAGTGCCCAGGTACGGCACCTCACTGCTGGAGGGGGTCTGCCAGAAAAAACAAACTTGTCATGCAAAAATACAGTAACAGTCGAGATATTTGAATGTTTTTGTCTCTTATGCTCACCAAGGCTGCATTTACTTGATCAATTTTAGTAATATTGTGAAATGTTATTACAATTTAAAAGAACTGTTTTCTATTTTAACATATTTTTACATTTGTTCCTGTGACGTTGAATTTGAATTTTCAGTATCATTACTCCAATCTTCAGTGTCACATGATTCATCAGAAATTATTAGAATATTCTAATTTATTCTTATTATTATCAATGTTGTTTCTTATGATTACAGAAATCTCAAAAGAATAGCATTTATTTGAAACCAAATGGCAAATTTATTTTGAAACAAACATTTTTGATAATAATTTACAAGTATTTACTGTCACTTTCGGTCAATTTAATGCATCCTTGCTCAATAAAAGTATTAATTTCTTAAAAAAAAAAATTACACTGAAGCCAAACTTCAGGAAAGAAGTGTATATTTTAACTTAAACAAATCTGCACACATGCTTCAATTAAAAGCTTCCTCTTTTAAGCACACACATCTTTTCCCAACAGCTAAGAGTATAAATATTTCAGTTAGAGGAACACGCTGTTGACGCATCTTTACTGGTTATACATGCAACTCCGTCATACTGTGTCAGCTAGTATTATGGTAATACCCTTTTGGGTCTTTTAATTAATGTGTTGGCAGATTCACATTGAGACAGATTTTCATAATGGAAATGAAATTACTTGAGTCAAACTAGAGCAGCCAGTAAATGTGCCGGTGCAGAAGCATACTTCCTAAAAAGAGTAGTTATTTCCCAGAAACAACAGATTTATAATATTTTTTAACAGCAACTTATGCCAATGGCCTTAAATAATACAAATGCACTACTTTCAGCAGGGCCTTGTTTTTATGAAAAATGCCAGTGATTCTTACCATGTGCTTAGATGTAGGACTGAGTCTGGGAGACTTTGGAGCGGTGTGAGTGTCTACATCAGCTGCCTGGTTTCCTTCCTAAATCAATCACAAAAAAATAGATAACAGGACATTTGGCATAATGAAATGCAAACAGTGAAACTGATTTAGATGAGCATATTATTAAAAACAGAGCACTAGATACACTGAAGCAACTGGCCTAGAGAAACATTTACATAAATCACTTTAGAAAACATTCAAAATCAATCTTCCACACCCAAAGAAATGCCACAATTCAAGATAAGTACAATTACTTAACAGAGCATGATAAAGATTGAGGTCAAAGAGGAGTGGGATAGATTATTAATTGCCAGCACAGATAACAACAATGAATGCTTTGTTGTTATACACTGAACAATGCAGAACATTATGGAATGCTGTGCCTCCATAATGGTTTCTTTGCCAACAAGATGACTCTGCATTTTTTTAACCTCATCTTCATTTAGCTCTACTGATTTACTCTTTTGCATGCGAGCTAGAGTGAAAAACGGTGTGGAAAATATTGAATGTTGCCTGGTAGCATCTTTAAAGATCGTAAAAAGGGCATAAAAGCAGCCATGGGATGAGATGATGTAATTGTCTTAACAGAGATTCAAAAACCAAAGTGTAAGGAAGTTGCGCACATCCCACAAACCCACACAGGGCTCAGGTGCAGGACAAAAAAAAGTCAATCTATAGCAAAAATACAAACGTATTGTCCGCACACTGATGTAATTGCTCCATAAAAATAATTTATTGCGGCAATGTTTCGATCAAGTCTTCGTCAGGCACCAAACTTAACAGTTAACAGAGATTCAACACTGCTATCAGCTCTTACACATGATGTTAAATCATTAGAGGGATCTGTTTGCACACTGTAGGCCAAATATTTATGTTTTTTTTTTAAAGAAATGTGTATTTTTAAATCGATCAAACGTGACAGTAAAAATATTTATAATGTTATTAAGTTAAAATGTTTCAGATAAATGCTTTTCTTTTGAACTTTGTTAAATAAAAGAATCGATTTCATAACATTTACCAAATTACCTTTTAAAATATATTCAAATAGACAACATTTTAAATTGTAATAATATTTTACTATATTACTATTTTACTGTATTTTTGATTAAATATATGCAGCCTTGGCGAGCATAAGAGACTTCTTTCAAAAACATTAAAAAATCTTACTGACCCTAAACTTTTGAATGAAAGTGTATGTGTAAAATTTTAGATTAGAATAGACTACAGGTTTAAAACAGGCAAATCTGTGAAACTTACCTCTACAAGAATATCTCGATTGACCAGCACACAGTTCTCATCAGGAAATGTGTCGCAGAGCTGATCGAAGGCAGCCATACTCTCCCTGAAATTACACAATTTATCCATTTAAATGTAATACCATGTGTTGTGCAAATTTAATATGTGCACTTAACATTGCACTACAGGTTTAGCAACTATTCGTGTAAGGATCAGAAGACACTACCTGCTGATTGCCACCCAAGTTTTCTTTAGCCGGTAAACAGCATTAGACTGAAGAGCAGATAAGATGGCTCTTAGAGAGGAGAAGTTTCTCAACTGATGGCACTCCTGTAACATAAATGATAATAAAAAGAACAAATCAGCTTAAAATAATAAAAAAAAA